ATGAGTCAATCGGACGTTGAGACTGCCCGGAGACATCTGAACAAGGTAAGTGAACTCGTGGGAGAAAATGAATGGAATCACCTAGAACAGAAATATCATCTTAAGGAAAGGGCATTTATTTTGAGAGATAAACAATCATTTCCGGAGCTTGTTGAACCATTTGAGAAATTCCAATAGAGATTTTATCATGCTCTCGACTTTGTGTCGTTATGGATCTCTGTGGAGTAATATCTTCCTATAGGAGTATTGTGAGGCCTTTTGACGTTTATGGTCAAGAATGGTTCCGCTAATGTCACACGTTAGGACCTACAGCCATGCTCAGCAACGTGATATTGACAGAATCTACGTTGTTCCTTGATAATATTTTAACAACTATACGCCGTGTTCCGTGACGAGCCCCAGTCTTATAGCTCTTTAAGTGGTAGATAGCAACGAATTTCGCGGCCAATAGAACTCTTGATTTGAGGTTTACCTTGACATCGACTAGCAAAAGCTTAGTAGCCTATCAAACGCTTTATTTCAGACTTAGTCTCGCAGTAACGATCAGTATCCAATCACGTCCGAGATGGGTCTCCTTCAAATGAAGATTTACGCGTGGCCGTATGAGCCCTCCATGCCATATAAAACCGATGTTTCTCCGTTGGATGGACACAGACGCAACCCTCGCGATGGATCAACTCTTATAGCATCTCTTGTCCGGATAATGGGCGGTTGGTCACGGAATCATACCCCTTAGACTTGCACATCAAGCATTTACTTGCTATGCTTCCTTATCATATTTTCGAATGCCTAGTCAGGGATTGGAGCATTCTTGTCGGACCTGAGCCCAACTATAGCTCCCCGGAGAAATACCGCATTGGTGGCCATCAGCCACACCCTTTCAACCGACTCAACGTCTTTTGAAAAATATGAGTAACCAATAACTGCACCCGAGTCCTGTAAGCTAAAAATAAGAGGGAAGGTGGACTTGTTACAACACCTGCCATTAGACCTGGCTGGGAACCGCGGTCGAACCTCACGAACCTAACCTGAACCTCCATTTGGGCGGGTCAGGTTCCAGGATTTGGAACCTGAGGGCGGTTCCATCCGAGGACCGAACCTCATCAGGTTACCCGCGGGTGAACCTCAGGTTCCACAAACATGACAGACAGGTAAAAAACGTGACTATAGGTCAATTGCATAAATCATGTAGAAACAGGCTGTATTCTCTTGTAATTGTAAGCCAAGACTTCATTACTGTATGGCCTTGCAGAAGGATACTATATGTCTACTCATCAGCGCATGTCCTGGGTGGTTTATCTTCGAAAGGGGGTTTTAATTGTCAATTGTTTACATTGCATCTATAGTACAGTGATCAGTCATGGTTCTTAACAGTCAAGTGTCAAACTATCAAACTATATACCCATCTTGTAGTCTCGACTTCTTCTCCTGATACACGATGCTGCGTATCAGGTAAGGGTAAAGCCGAGTTATCATCTGGATGCGCAAATTCATTGGTATCAGAGTCTTCCTCATCGTCAGAAGAGACCGCCGGCCGCTTTCTAGCGGCGACCGCTGAGAGTGGCGGTGCGTCCTGGGTTACCTGTGTGGTTAATATTGTAGCGGGTGTATCAAGATGCATCTCGACGCCTTCCTCGGTATCACTAATGGCCTCAGAGCAAGTTGTCTGGATATCAAGTTCTTCAGACGAAGCTGTGATCTCTTCCTCTGAAGGATACTCTTGGAGAATCACTCGCTGCTCCTCCTTGGTATCGAATCTTGTTGTACACATATACAGCGTGATATCGCGAATAGTCTCTGGGTTTAACGACCCCCGGCGATAGTGGCAAACGTCCCGGGCAGAGTTAAAAAGACGCCCAACCCCGGCACCAGTCGCTGGAATTGACATGATATCACGGGTAATCCTTGCAAAAATAGGGAACTCTTTCTCATGATTTCTCCAGAATATCCGAGCAGATTCATCGATAGTGGCTAAGAAGGTTAGTATTTAGATTGGTTTATTAAGCTCACTCACTTACCACTCTGGATATATCTAGTCAGCTTGTCGTGTTTCGGACCGGTTGATTGCTGATACTGTAAGGAATCGCCCTTACAGGCCCTCTCAAGCGCTGATTTGGCTGGTAATAACATACTATCAGACTGTGTCATATTGTAATGTTGCCAGAGTGGCAATAATATGACTCGAACACTAAGACAAACCACAATGCAACGGACAGTTGAGTATGAGAAATAGAAGCCCGGTGTGGAGATTATGTACTATAATCGAGGGAGAACGGTAACTTGAATGAGAGTTTTGAAAAGAACGAGAGTGGTGAGTTGTGGGAGAGAGGTGAGTTGAGGGGGAGTATTAAATTGAGGTAGAGTGGTCATGTTCGCCAATTCAAAAGTGATACACTGGGCATAGTATACATAAGTTGTTGGTTGAACACTAACTGACGAACTGAGGGAGTGGTCAAATACCACTAGGACCCTTTGGGACAGGCTTATTCATCGTTCACCCAATTCCCCCTAGTATTTGTACGGTATTCCGGGCACATTCGGAAGTACGGTGTTGTAACACGCCGAAGCTTATTTGTATAGACCCCTGAGATCGTTCAACCGATCTTGAGACCTACAATCAATCATCTGATTCTATTGGACATGTTCAGTACTAGCCAGTACACCAATTCCTCACCCTGACACTAACTGCTTTTCGAGAACGGGGCGTAGTAAACCAATCTCCGGATTATCGAGCGAAATTTTCGATACTATAGGCAATCCAAGGGTTTCCATCTACAGCCCGTGGCCTCTACAGGTATGAGTTTCATGTAGCTGATCTGAAGGTCTGAATTATACTTTCAATTGAATTACTGGGAACTTCGTTATAGGAGAGACCTCTGAACAAGAACAGGCTATAAGCCCGAGAGCAATATCTCAGGTGCCGTCTCTACTCATCTAAAAATCATCTGAACCATCTTAATTATATATCTACCATTTCAGAAGCAATGCAGGTTCAGTCGCCTACGGCAGAAGCCCAAGGACACAGGCCAGAAGCAGAAGGTGGTATTGAAACCCAATTGACATGTTAAGGCAGATTCGCTGACCTGCTATTGGCACAATGTTTAACCACTTTTATCAAAACCTCACCTTTCGATCTATCTTGAGTCGTTACGATCCGCCTGAGAATTCCGAAGCTGAGATAAGGAGAATGCGGGAGATACTTACGCTCGCTGGGAATAATTATGACGAAAGCTTTCTAGCAACCGTATAAGCCACCGACTTCTGGTACTGGTGTGTATTGAGACCGGAGATATGGGACATAGTTCCGGATCAAGCTCTCTGAAACGAGTTCACTTGCTGGAAAGCGTTCGTCATAATTATTCCCAGCGAGCGTAAGTACCTCCCGCATTTTCCTTATCTCAGCTTCGGAATTCTCAGGCGGATCGTAACGACTCAGATAGATTGAAAGGTGAGGTTTTGATAATAGTGGTTAAACATTGTGCCAATAGCAGGTCAGCGAATCTGCCTTAACATGTCAATTGAGTTTCAATACCACCTTCTGCTTCTGGCCTGTGTCCTTGGGCCTCTGCCGTAGGCGACTGGAACTGCATTGCTTCTGACATCACCATTGAGGGTTGTTGAGCCTGCCCCAACATGCTATTCGAATTAGAGGAACACTTTGCTTCTTGTCACTAGCTAACACCCAGGTCAAGTACCGAAGTTTGGCTCTTCCTAGGGAGGTTCAAGGTTCTGCTCCTCGAAAGACGAGAAATTCGGTTTTCTCTTTCCGTGGACAAAAGTACGACCAGTCAAAGCTGCCTGGCCAAAAATACATATTCACTTTGTTCGGCACAGTCAACTTTATTCAGCACAATACGCTGTGGCAGGTTCCTGAATAATCAAGTATCGGCAATGCTAACTTGCACTTGCCTTTCCTCTCCCAGATTACTCGGCCATTTCACATGCGACTATCTTAATAACCCCTGTGTCTCCAGCTCTTGTGAAATGCCCACAACTTAATGTGTTATAACGGATCGCGGTAATGTATCAACCTTCGGACAAATTTCGTAATTGCTTTTTTCAGGATACTAATCGGTCTTGATTCGTTACACGTGTGGTGACTCACCCCTGAAAGTGACAGGTCATCTGGGGTTTTGTGATGAGTTCGAAAATAGGTGACTATTTGTGATGAGAAGCGTCGAGCATCAACTCATTCTTGGCCATTTCCGATTCCTGTGGGGCTAACATATCGTTGATTTGTCCACCGCCAATTTTGGCCGGAAGTGTTGTAGTTCAGAGGTATTAATTGATTATTATTTCAGAGGGAAACATGAGTCTATATATACAACGAGAAGATCAAGTTGATTTCCAATCAACTTGATTCTTCGCATAGATAAGTCGGGATTAATTCCGATGATGCGGTTTGGTTCCTGATCTGCACCAGCCTCATATCACAACAGGAAGCCAGTTCCTGACCGGTGCTGAAAATAATATCTAAATGGCGGATGACAGGGGGATATAGCTACCAACTGAATACCAAGTTTGTTTGATTGCCTGCCTAGATGTCGTGGCTCTTACAGTAGCGACCAGTTTCGCCTTCCATGGTGGACAACACAGAGGAGCTTTCTCAAACCCTAATCACATGCGGCGCTAAGCCGTATATGGTACTCCGTATCTCAGAAGCCGTCACGCGGCGAAACGGTATAATATCGCATTTACTATTTGTTTTTCGGTGGCCCACTCGCTGGTGAAATACGTTAGTCACTTCTTTATCTACTGTCCACCTTTCCGGTCGCATCATCTCAAATTTGTCCAAGGTACCAGCGCCTACCACAAACCCAATCCTCACTTTGTTCACAACGATTTGAGTTCATTTTCCGCTCAGCCTGACTTACCTATTTTATAGTTGGCGTACCATGTCTCTCCTCCGCCTGCCCTCGGAATTAATCCAAATGATAGGCTCATTCCTAGAAGCAGAAAGAGACCTATACACATTATGTCAAACTAGCAAACGACTCTACATGGAACTTATTCAACATCTCTATCGCCTGAACTCTCAAAATTCAAGCTCGGCACTGGTATGGGCTGCCATACGCGGAAATGAGGGTACAGCTCGAAGGTCAATACAAGAAAAGGCGGAAATCAGATTGACGGATTATAGTGGCGAGGAACCAATATTCTGGGCCACAGAGAATGGCTATGAGGTGGTAGTGAGATTACTCCTTGAGGCTGGACAGGTGGACGTGCAGTCAACGGACGTTAATGGTTGGACGCCATTATTCCTGGCGTCTCTGAATGGTCATGCTAGTGTGGTAAAATTATTACTCGAGACTGAAGGGGTGGACGTGGACGTGAAGGATGCGCATGGTCAAACACCATTATTCTGGGCCTCATGGAGTGGCCATGTGAAAGTGGTGCAGATATTTCTTGAGAATGGGAAGGTGGATGTGAACTCAAAGGACTGTGCGGGTCGGACGCCGCTGTTCTGGGCTGCAGAAAATGGCCGTGAGGCGGTCGTGGGATTACTCCTTGAGACTGAAGAGGTGGACGTGGAGCTAAAGGACTTCACGGGATGGACGCCATTATCCTGGGCCGCGCGACGCGGTCATGAGGCAGTGGTGCAGTTGTTACTCAAAACTGAGAAGGTGGACGTGAACTCGAAGGACTCTGTGGGTCGGACGCCGCTGTCCTGGGCTGCAGAAAATGGGTGTGAGGCGGTCGTGGGGTTACTCCTTGAGACTGAACAGGTGGACGTGGAGTCAAAGGACGATGAGGACAGAACGCCATTATCCTGGGCCGCGCGACGCGGTCATGAGGTAGTGGTGCAGTTGTTACTCAAAACTGAGAAGGTGGACGTGAATTCAAGGGACTGTGAGGGTCAGACACCGTTTTCTTGGGCCGCGAGAACTGGTCAGGAGGCGGTAATGCAATTGCTCCTTGAAACTGGAGAGGTGGACGTGGAGTCAAAGGACGATGAGGCCAGAACTCCATTATCCTGGGCCGCGCGATGCAGTCATGAGGCAGTGGTGCAGTTGTTACTCGAGACTGAAGGGGTGAATGTGGATTTGAAGGATTCGCAAGGTCGAACTCCGTTATTTTGGGCCGCAGCAAATGGGTATGAGAAGCTGGTCCAACTATTTCTTAGGACTAGGAAGGTGGATATCAACTCAAAAGACCGTGAGGGCTGGACTCCTCTATCCGCGGCCACAGAATGTGGTTATACGAAGGTGGTGCAGCTTCTACTTGAGGTCGACCAGATGGATCAGGACCTATAGCGACCTACGCAGCCCAGTACATATATATTAATGGCAATTAATAAAAATGAATATCTCAACCATTCTTGCCTATCGCCCTATCACCTTGACACCAAATTGACCCAGGGAAGACAAAGCTCTCTGCAATGAAGCAGCTGCGAGATACAGAAGAGCGAAGTCGATACCGTTGCTTAGATTCCAGGAGCTGGTATTATTACAGGTATGGGCAAAACGTGTCAGGTTTGCAGTGTCATGTGATTAGGGTTTGAAAGAGCATCTTTATGTTTCCGACATGGAAGGCGATATTGGGCACTACTGTAACAAATTGATCAGTCCAAGATCTAAATAGATGAATACGGGGCTAAGATGAAATTCAGGGGTAATTAGAAGTCCCAGCTGTCGTCCAGTTTAATTTGGGGGAAATTCCACCACTATCCCATGAAGGTGGGCGCAGTCTAGTAGACTGGAATTACTTTTCGTACGAGGATCAAACTCAAAGTTTGTATAATTCTAAGTTACGCCTCGGAGATTATGGTCCTCAAATTTTGGAGTATTTAATTCAGCCATAAAGGTGTGGTGGCCGATCAAAAATTTGGAATTAAAACCCTAAGTCTGTATTCAACCCAGCACCCTCATACATACCAAACCACTAGCTGGGAATTAAAGTTGGTTGAGCGCTCATGAATCCCTTGAGATTATGGAATTCTGTCTTCTAAATGGGACCATTCTCTGTCGACTCCCATTACATACATCGCACAAATTTCAGTCCTGCGACGTTGGCGTCTTCTCGTCACTGAAGACAGCGTAACTGGAACAGGCCAAGTCATTACAATGCTGCGGGGCCAAGACTATTGGGAAGCAGCATTTTACGTATCTGTACAGCCGTGCTCGCGGTCAGGCGTTCACTTTTCAGAATATTCTCTCCAGATGGTCGTCCAAAACTAGACTGCGGCCCTTCAATCCCGCGAGGGTCCTTAGAGACATCCAAAAACCTTCAGCCGAGCCTAGACAATTACAGACTATGACACTCCTGACTAACGTGAAAATGAGGCGCCGAAATAAGGCGGTGTGCCGGAACTTGACAAAGATACCTTCGCCGTAATTGAAGATAAATCTATCAAATAACAATAATATCGTAAATCAAGACGCCTGGGGTATCCTCTGGCTCTGAAATTAAATACCATCGAATTTTAAATAATAATATAGGATGTTGGTCTAGTGCGACTTCGTGAACAAGGGTCCGCGAAAACCAAAAATACACCACAGAACTATAATCACTGCCTATTCCATCATTATCATATATCTAGCTAGGCTGCGGCATATCGTACGATAACGATAATGACCCATTATCGTTATCCGCAAATTGCGGATTGCGGATAATCGATCATTATCATCATCGTCGTTGCAGATATCCGCGGATATCTAAACGATAGTTTGGATATCAGCAAACTATCCGCACTAGCATAATGTCCGCTAATATATCCTATTCTGGACCATCAGGTGATACTTATGAAGCTGACAAAACACTGTTTTACATCTGAATCTTTGCATGTTTGGTCATAACAGTACTCATCCCCTATTTCTTTCACTTCTTCTGGGAAATAATAAGAAACAGTATTGTAATCGTTAATAAATCTTTTCTGAATAAACAATTGGTTTTGGTTTATAGCGAGCGAGTTGTAGTCGCCTGTAATTTTATAAAATTAATTAATGGGTGGTGGTTTGGCAGATATATATATTTGATGCCGAAGGAATATAGTACATTTCCCTGTAAAGTCTTAATTCAATATCCAGATCCACCAATAGTATAGTTTTGATCCTGAAAATAGTATGGATAGATTCGCTAGTTCGCAGTTCATCTATATGTTCATTTTACTCAGCATGTTTACATACCAAAGTAAGGCGCAATTTAGATTTGAAGTTTGGAACTGGCGGACTTGGCATTTTTTTTGGTGTTGGTGACACGCGGATAACTCTTGGATAATCCGAAGATAGTCGGCGGATCATCGGCGGATTATCGTCAATTATCGTCTGAATCTCCACATAGGCTTAATACATACCCAATTAGCATCGAGTATTATCGTGAGCACGTCGACATCGCGGGCGCACACGTTTGCCTACGCACCAATTTTCCCGCTAAATTCCTAGTAAGTCTCTTCCTGGTATACTCGATCGTTCTACACTTGGTGCCTGGTCCTCTACTCGTCATGTCTTATTCCCAAGTATCAAGGAGCCAATATGAGGCATCTCAGTACGCCAATTCATTCATTGATTCAGAATTTCCACAATCGGACGAATCCTCAGACGCGCTAAGCAGTCAGAGCATAGCACAATCGACTCCTGTCTCAGACACTCCCCCTCCCCCTCGATATCCTCGTGCCCCCGAATTACTACAGCGCGTCGGCAAACTCTTTCAACCATCTTATATTCTCTACAACTGCGACAAAACCGATCCAATGATGGAGACGTCTCGGATACAGTTTGTATAATGGTGGCTAATGACTGAGTTTGGCAGCAAGAAAGAACTGCAGAAATCGATTAGATGGGATACTATACAGAAAAAGTCTGATGTTTGGAGCTCATTTGATCAGGTTGCAAATGCGCGGACTGGCGAGCCTAAGGTTATGTGCAACCGCTGTCAAAGTGTGGTTGTTCACCCAAGGTTCAATCGTTCTGGTCCCTCTCCCATGAAAAACCATCTTAATAGTGCGTACTGCTCTCAGCCGCGGAAGACTACAAAGCAAAGCATAGATCAGCTTCTCCGAGAGATGGTAAGTCTATCCTAGATCTAATCTATATTGTACACTAATTTTCCTTATCTCTACCTAGCCGCGTCAATCAACAAGCACGGAATTCAGCCAGACAACCCTCCAGAAGAAGATCCTCAAGTTTATCACGACTGCCCGTCTCCCATTCCGCACTGTTGAGCACCCAGAGTTCAAAGAGCTTCTGCAATACACCAGGCTCGCCAAATCAGAGCTCAATATCCCGTCCACCCGCAGTTTAACACGTCTTTTGGATAGTGAAGTCCAGGAACAGCAACAGAGCGTGCTCAGTAAGCTTCCACCTGGAAGCTCTCTCTCTATCGCACTTGATTGCTGGACCTCTCCGTTTGGCCAGGCATTTATGGCAATCACTGGATACTTCCTCGACCGGGACTGGAATTACTGTGAAGTTCTTCTTGGATTTGAGCATATCCAGGGATCACATACTGGGACTCAGCTAAGCGAGACTGTTATCCGAATCTTCCAAGAGCATGGTATTACCGACCGAGTATTATCAATCACAACTGATAATGCGTCAAACAACAACACAATGATTCAAGGCGTTCAAGAGATGGTTCAGTCCCAGGCTCTTCACAATACCTCTGTTTTCCGAGTACCATGCATTGTGCACGTTATACAACTTAGCCTAAAAGACCTCCTTGGAAAGATCAAAGCGAACCCAAAGAATGCAGAGGCCGAGTCAGAGTGGTCAGATGAACGTACGAAGTCGCTACAGTCCGCTCCAGATCACGCTTCAGGGAATATCGTGGCTACTTTGAAGAAGGTAAATGTATCATGTTATATTCCGAGGATATAATTGCTAAAATATTGTAGATTCGAGAGCTCGCTGTATTCATTACCGCCAGTCCTCAGCGCCGAGAGGCTTTCCGGGCGCTTCAAACAACAGAGCCCAAGCTTCTACCGATTCAAGATGTTCGTACACGCTGGAATTCTACTTTCTTGATGCTCGAACGTGCCAAGAAACTACAGCGAGTCTTCAACCAGTACTGTTCAACCCACCAATACGTTCAGTTTCAGCTCGGTCAAGAGGAATGGCGCCAAGTGGAATATCTCCTTTTGGTCACAAAGCCTTTCTTTCATTACACCAAAATCTTGTCCAAGACTCAAGATGTTACTGTTCATTCGATCTTCAGCATATATAAGGAGCTCTTTAGCCATCTTGATGGTGTTGCGGAGTTACTAGAACGCAAGACTGTCCCTTGGAAAAAGAGAATGCTTCAGGCACTACAGGCAGCGAAACAGAAACTCTCAAAGTACTACGGAGCGACCGACAGTGAATCATTTGGCACAGTTTATGCAATTGCAACTATTCTGTGTCCATCGAAGAAGCTTCGGTTCTTTGAAGGCGATAACTGGAAAGGGAAAAACGAGAGGGGCGAAGATATTAATTGGATGGAGATCTATCGGAATAAACTACAGAAGGAATTTGACCAATATCAACAACGCATTACTCGCCACAAGGAGCCCTCTCAAGCCCAAGTCGCTCAAGAAGGGGATGAAGAGGAGCTTGATCTTATAATGGATTTGCACGCTACTTTACAGAGTGAAATCGACCGACCGGAGGATGAGATCACACGATATCTTGCACAGGGTTTGTATACTTCCCTGCTTTATTATACGGCTTTCCAGCTAATTTATCCAATAGGTCTTACCAAAGGAAAGCCAAGGGTGTTCTGGAAGGAACATGAGCATGAATATCCAGTGCTTGCAGCGATGGCACGGGATAATCTGGCAACACCGGCTAGTGGCGCTGGTGTTGAGCGGCTCTTCAATTGTGCTCGTGATGTCTGTCACTATCGCCGGGGGCAGCTTAAACCAGAAACAATCAGGTCTCTAATGCTTCATTTGTTCGCATCGAAGTTCGAGCTTCAACAAACCGAGCTCGAGATGATCAAGGAGTATCTCTCTAGTGGAGAGGCGGCCATACTCGATCAAACATGGAAGCCAACTCCGTCGCTTAACGATATCGAGCCAATCAGTGAAAACGAAGAAGATGGTAACCATGCGGAGGATGGATCGGATGATTCAGAAAATGATCTGGGAGATAATCATACAGTTGAGCACGCGACTCCTACACCGGTTACAACGCAGGGCAAGCAACCACGGCGCAAGAGGCTTCATAGTGCCGTTGAGCCTCAGGATGATGGTGATAATGATCTCCCGCTTCCTGAAATGCCAACTGAAGGGTCCACGCAGGGGAGATCGGGGAGGAGGATTCGGAAGAAGCCAAAGCAGCCAGATGGATTTGAATTTGATAACCTGTAATATAATCTTGAATAATTGAATGCTGTTGCAATAAAGCGAGGCAAAGTAGACTAATTTGGAGAAAAGATCGTAGGCCACTCATTCGCATGACGAATATACAATCAATTACACATTCAATACTCCAAAAAATACTGGAGAAAATGCATAATTTATGCAAACTCGATCAGGTCACGAGTCCTAGCATGTTTGCAATATTTGTTATCGTACGATAATCCGCGGATATCAGCAAATGAAAATATAATTATCGTATCGTATCGTTGCGGATAATTCGATAATGAATTTATATCGTTATCCGCAATTTACGGATACGATAATCGATTATCTGCCGATAATTTGGATAGTGCCGCAGCCTAGTCGGGACGCTGTAGGTCGCCCGACACAACATCCCAGACCTGTCTAGCTTTCAGGTACGAGGTCATGAGACGTTTCCAGGTTGCAAAGTTGTCGCTTCCTGTCAGAGGCTCAATGGCCGTGACGACTCGATCGGGCGAGTCGTGGACCAGAGTGGACATGTTGCTTCGGAAAGTGGGGTAGATATATAACCGAGAGGGTCAAGTTGATTCTCAGGTGAGTAGAGACGGCACCCGAGAGATTGCTCCCGGGCTCATAACCTGTTGTAATTCAGAGGTATTAATTGATTATTATTTCAGAGGGAAAACATGAGTCTATATATACAACGAGAAGATCAAGTTGATTTCCAATCAACTTGATTCTTCGCATAGATAAGTCGGGATTAATTCCGATGATGCGGTTTGGTTCCTGATCTGCACCAGCCTCATATCACAACAGATTGAGACAAATCGGCCCGCATAACGTCGAACTGGACTCCAAGGAAAGCACGTGGGATGCCCAGGTCGTTCAGTCGAAACCCCGTCTCTAGCACTTATTTAACTGGTTCTATTTCGTTTCGGTTTTCTGCGGCAACGAGAAAGTCATCCACGTAGACAACGCAATCGAATTTATAGAAGACGCTATTCAGTGACCCCGAGTCATACAATTTTAGTCCATGATTTGTACGGGTCGAATGGAAAACGATCTGCCGAATCTTTCAGCACGTGAACGGTGGGCTGATATGTATGCTTGAAAGAATTATACGGTAGAATTTCTACCAGAAAAGGGAGCCAGAGGAGGATTAGGATCAGCGGTGGGCTCTCATAGGCTAGACTCCACACTGGAATTAGGAAACCTGCCAATTTTGATTCGTTTCAACGGTGTGGCTACCGTCGGTGCGAGTCACGTGGTTCACTCAGTTCCCTCGGCTCTTTCCACGAACATGATAATCATATCCCTACTAGCAGGAGCATTTTTCTTCCCGATAATTTTTTTCTGTGCGTCTTTGTATTGCACGTTTTAATTTGCCCAGGTTGATACTCCATCAGACGGCTTCATTTTCCATCGCCAATTAGGTCGCGCCCGTCGCCACTGTCCTTGCCTCCAGCTTGTACAACCCCCTTAATATAATACATATAGCTCTTTTCCTCTTTCCCACATCTCTGGAGAAATTTCCTTCCATTCATTGTCCACTATGAATTTACCTTCGCAGTCCAACTCGGCTGAGCAGACTATCCGCAAAGGCGACATCGCCAAGGTAAGAAGGAATGCATTTGCTTGCTGAAAAATAAGAGAAACCCAGCCGTGGAACGTCTAGAGTTTGCAGGTTGCACCCAACTTGTCAATCCTAACAACCCCCTCCAAAGCATCATCTGTACTAGATTGTTAATAAAGGATAATTCTCCACAGGTTTCTAGGAGCTTGCAAGTCCGACTGGGCCTGGCCAAACTCAAGTATCAGCATGGCCAGCTTCATGGCCTAGACTTTGTCCAGGATGAATGCGGCAAGCCGTCCGACTCATCCGACTTCTCTCGCAGCCGCTGCGAGACCCGCTTGACTTCACCCCCTTTCCGATCCTCGACCTATTACAAGGAGCTGCCCCTATCCGTCCCCAACCTGTCGGCCACCCGCAAACGCTTCCGACCCGACTTTGACCCTCCCCTCCCAACCAAAGCAGCGGGGGTATCTTGGAAGAGATCGTGCCAACTGCCAAAGTCTTCGCCAAGGCTTAATTGGTATATGGGAAAGCCACCGAAGCATACCCCCTTTATGTCCGAGGCCCCCTTTCCGCGGGTTTCTTCCGCACATAGTGGGGCCTATGCTGAAGAAAGCAACCCTGATATCCTTCTTCATCGCTTTCGGAATATTAACTCCATGGCGAATTCTTCTCCGCCTCCACTTTCGAAGCAGGCTCGTCCGCCCCGGGAGCTTGCCTTGAATGAGGATAAGACAGGCCTGCCCCTGTACTTGAGCTCCCCTTCCACTCCGGTCTGTGTATTAAGAGGTTCTCAGGACCTGCCTTGCACGCCTCCTTTCAAGCACGCTACTCTGGCAACCCTAAATTCCGGTCTGGGAAGCCCGGGCCAGCAATTCAACTTTGCTGATTACGTGAACGTAACGCCTGCTCTAGCTCAGCCTACATGGAGCAGCGCCATTGCTTCTATATAACGGGGTTCCCGAATGACAAAAAATGACAAACCTTGAGAGATCTCAGGTTTCTCGGCCCTCCGATGAACAACGGTTCGAGATATACAAACAAGAATGTCTCGTATGCCTCGGAAACAATGATAGTCCCGTCAGATCATGCACTTAATATTACGACAAAAGTGGATTTTGGACTGTTGTCGTCAGCGTCGTTGTCCGATATAATCCTTTCCCAACCCAGTCAGTTGGAACCATATTATAATCTCTGATCTGTTTTCCAGATTAAAACGGTCATTTCATCGGCCGAAAACACGAGTAGTTTGCGATCTATTGAAAGGCCACCGACCTCACGTAGTCGGAAGGATCTTGGAGTATGCCACGAGCGGTGCCGTTTTGAATATCGCACAGCTGCGCTGTTGGATCATTTTAGCGACTTGCCACCTAGGAAGATGGCCACATCCCAAACCCACCTGGAGTGGGTGGTCCTTCAATGTTTGACGTGGCACTAGCTTGAGAAGGACTGCCGGCGATGTCATCAACGACAACATAATAGCAAATACACCAGGCAGAGCGCCAAGAAATATGTCGGAAGAGGGCTAGTACCTTCTAGTACACTGTATTTCTCACACGCATGCTTCAAGCTCAGCTCCTGCTCAACCGGCTTGGTTCCTTATCTGCACCAGCTCTGTATCACAACATGTACGGTGGCTTCTTTTGTGAGATTGATGCGGGAGCGCGAAGCTTCGGATAAATCACCGTGTCGAGCACCCCATTCCACCAGCAAGAAGGCTTGCATATAATGCAAATCTTGATTTAGTTAAGTTTTTATCTAACAATGCAACATAAAGTAAACATTAATTACATAGTACATGACCTTTCGTGTATGCCCAACTATACCGCATGCAGTACATTTTGATGGTGCTTTTTTCCTCATCTGTATAGGCTCTTCAACTTTCTTTTGCTCTATCTCATCCCGCTTACGCTTCTTAGGCTTCGGCAATGGAATCAGGGGCTCTAAGAGTGGAAGATGCTCTAATATGTCCTCTGTATCACTAAGGCCAATTCGCCAGAACGGGTGGATATCTGATAATGGAATAGCTGCATTACCCTCTAGTAAAGTAGCAATCTGATGCGCGCAAGGTAGACCCATCGTTCTTGAGAATGTATTTGTACAGGGAGGTATAGGAGCTATTTCTGTAGCTCTTTTAGCCTTTGAAACTTGCTCACTAATTCGTCGGATTGAATATCGAGAGGTCCTCGTCATGATATTAGTATAAAGCTCTTGTGATGGTACTATTACATTTTTTTGATCTCTTATAAGGTCATATTCAAGCGTAGCATGTTGGGCTTGTAAAGCTTGTGAAATCCTTTCAAATACAAGTAACATATCCCCTGTTGAAGCTCCTATATGCTTTTTTAAAAAGTATGCGACCAGCCAGATCCCTCTAGGAAAAACCACGCTTTAACATTATCAATTGACAGTATGTACTTTAAGAGCCTACCGCTACCAGCTGTCTCAAATGCACAGTACAGGAATAGGATCGGGGACAGGGGCGAGCCCTGAGGTAGGCCAGCATGTGGAAGGCTCTGGACCTCCGACACTTGCCCATTGATTTGGATGGTCGCCGTTCGTTCCGAGCAGAACGCTTCGAACCACCGGAGCAGGTCAACTGGCATGCCTCGCGCTTTCATTCTCTGGAGCAGTCATTCTTTGCACACACCGTTGTAGGCGCCTTTGACACCGAAGCTGATCAAACTCAACACCCGTCGGCCACGCCACGCTGTGTAGATCTGCTCTTGCAAGAGCACAAGCGCCTGCTCCGCGGACCGTTGCTTTCGGGCTCCGAAATGGCTGGTCGGGAGCAAGCCGTGTGTCTCCACAGCGTGCGAGATCCTTTCTGCAACCACGGATTCCAGTATCTTGCCCAGCGTCGCGAGGAGCGAAATTGGCCTCCATGCCTTCGCAATGGTGTAGTTTTCCTTGTTCGGCTTTTTGAGCGGTATGATCTTCGCGTGTCTCCACTGTCTCGGCAACCTGCCTTCTTCCAGTGACGCCTGGAACAAGTCGAGAACCCTGTGCTTGACCGTGGGCCACGTCATCTTCCAGACTATCGCCGGTAGACCGTCTTCACCCGGCGCCTTCCATGATTTCGCTGCAAAAAGCTGTCGTTCTACCTCCTCCAGGCTGATAGCAGGCATTCCCACCGGCTCTCTTTGTGGTCTAGTCCCCTCGTCGTCAATAACGTCAGGCAGAGGGGGAAAGAATTTGGACAGCAGTTCTTCTGCTTGCTCTTGATTCCGTGGTGGTAGTCCCGTCTGCTCTGACCAGCTGCGGTAGCTTCCCGAATGCTGCGTCTTCTCCCGACTTCAGGTATTTAGCGGCTTTCCAGATGTTATCGTTGTCTGCGAGAAACTCATTCCAGTGCTTCTTCTTCCGTTGCCGGATGGCATTAATACGTCGGAGGATCAGGTAGGTCGAGTTCCAGCGAGTTCTAACATCTTGAATAGGAACCAGCTTTGGCGGTTTAGTCTGAAGACTAAGAAATACTTCTCGGCGTTGAGGGCGTACATTTATGTAAATGGCGAGGTCACGGACCTAGCGAAATAATTAATAAATATATGTTTTTAGGTGAATGAAGATAAAGAGAGATAGAATAGAGGTCTTACCCTATCCAGGGTATCGGAAATCTCTTTCCGTCGTCGATTAGCACGAAGGGCTTTGGATTTCGCTTCAGACCATTCTCGTTCATGACTCTCATTGTTTGGATTGGCTTTCATTTCGCCAAGGAGCTTCTTCAGGCTCAGTTGGATAACATGAGCCAGGCATGGAATCCGGATGATAGGGAACTGATCATGGGACTCGAAGGCTGACAAAGACTCTTGGATTTTCTTCATCAAGGTCTTGTTGTTTGATGCGTTGTCTGTTGTGATGGCCAATACTCGACCCTCAATCTTGCAATGTTGAAGCCTTTCAAGAAGAACATTGCTAATATTCACTCCTGAGTGGGTGCCCTGGAGTGGCTCAAATCCAAGAAGAATTTCACGATAGTTCCAATCTTGATCGATGAAGTAGCCAGTGATAGCCATAAATGCCTGTTGAAATGGCGAAGTCCAGCAGTCCAACGCAATAGAGAGCTTTGCAGTTGAAGGAAGCTTTTCAAGAATTTTTTGGTTCGCGTCATCTACGGATTCCTGTAGTCGACGCTGAACGGTTCTAGCTGAAGGAAACTCTGGCATTGATGGGGCTGCCCGAGCTAGACGACAAAGCATTTGTAGTTCTGGATGTTCGACGACTTGGAACGGAAGCTGGAGTGCAGTGATTGTTCGGACAATCTTGTTGCTCCCACTGGTCTTTGGTGAAGTCCTCCATATCATTGCGAGTATAAGAGTCCTAAAACAATTAGTATTGAAGTAAGCTATTAGAGGGCAGCAAATACCGATTTCTTAAAAAGTTGACGTAGTTTTGCTTGCTGGGCTTTTTGACTAGAGGCCAATTTACACCTGCTAGTCGTCCAATGTCGATTAACAGACTTTGTTCCATTCGATTTCCAGTTCGGGTGATCAAGGATATTTCCAAATCTTTTACACATGACGCTTCGTACACCAGTGTTAATATGTGTTAATATGTGCCACCTGGTCCAAATTTTCCCAGCTTGTCGAATGCTTTCTGGTTCCATCCCACTCAAACTTGCGTCTAGGATCGCCTTTTGGTGCCTCGTCTCTCTCAGCTGCCGCCATTGTCTGAAGCCACCAATCCATAAAATCCGCTTTATTCATGACTGAATAAAGAATGAAGTTCTTCGTTCGATTTGGGCCAACGCGCCCAAGGGACTGAGGAATCGAAGGTGATGGTGGTGGTGGTCGAAGGAAGGGTGAATCTTGGACAGAAACAGTTGTTTGCTGACTGCTCGGCGACTCAGGGGTAAAGAGATAGGCATCGTCAGACCGAGGAAAGGAGAGATTATCTGCATCACTCTCATATCGGGATGAGGGGCCAGCGTCAGAGAATTGAGACATGGTGAGATACATTCAAGGTAGAGGAAAAATAGAGAATAGAGAAACTCACCTTTCTTCCGTAGCCAATTCAAAATCAGGGGCTTCGAATGGCATTCAGCTTTAGGAGCAAATAATCTTAAAAAGTGTGAAATAGCCGTTGGCCTATAGTTGCTAGCTTCATTGATTGGCTGGTGTCAGCAAAGGGCCCACACCATTTCATTTCACTAAATTAGTGGTCGGACAGATGTCCCCGATCCTAAAGCCAATAACCTCGCATGTGAATTACGTTAGTTAACGTATTTCACAAGCCAGTGGGCCACACAAGCGAGTGGGCCACGTCAAAACACCATAGTAAATGCGATATTTTACAACCTTATATCTCAGCAACCACGTTGTTGTTTGATTTCATTGTCATTTGATAACCATCGATAAGACTTTTGAACAGTATATATCAGTTTTAAGAAAATCGAAAAGCTGCATTATCACGGTATTGAAAATTACGCTGCTCAAAGCCAAAAATATATATATCTCAATCATGAAGTGGTAAAAATTTTCCAAAGTCCTTAGAGAGGCCAGATATCACCTAAAAAGCAGTAAGCTATAGGGAAAATTCCATATAGACTACCGTTGTTGATATATAAGGTTGTAAAATATCGCATTTACTATGGTGTTTTGACGTGGCCCACTGGCTTGTGAAATACGTTACATCTCTTATGTTACATAAGTGTTTTTTAAATCTAGTCTCTATTCCTCCACATTAGATATCCAAAATTGATCTTAGTAGCAAATCAATTAAACCAGACTTCTATTATTTATTAATACTCTTATTTACCATTTAGCTAGTGGGAGCGTTGAGAGAAAAGAAAGTGTTGGGTGTATGTACCTTTTGTATGAACATGCTATATAAAAGATACCTAATTTTCACAATTTCTGTTGTCTGGGAAATTTCTGTTTAGTGGAACAGACCCAACCTGAGTAAGGTTGGGCTGGTAAGACGGATAGGGGCCACGCGCAATCTGATGGGTTCCGTCAATCGTTTTGATCGGAAATCAACCTGTCTATTTCTACAAATACCGCGGGGATTATTCTCGGTGGTGCAGCTGTGTCCCTGAACTACCCCGCCCTCATCACAACAGGCCCTAAAGAATTGGATCGCAGTTTATTTCTTCGTTCCAGTACACTGGCATCGTTAATCTATATCGAGAACTGTGCTCTCTATGAACTTAAAGCTTATACTAGCAAACCGAACGTTTAAGATATCAAGACCCCTTAGGTGACAGGTAAAGTTGTCTCTCATTGTACTGAAAATAAGCGTGTAGTTTCACGTAACAGGCTCTTGGGCAATGAGCACGCAGGAATAGCAAATCGGGCTCAGGCGCTCATCTCAATAAACAAGAACGTATAGACATGCCTCGCATCAGCTTGTATCAATAAATTTGGCGTAGTTGTCGTAACGCTAGGGTCACCTCAAGATCGGCAGCATCTTTTCGCCCAAACAGCTGGAATCCCACAAGCAATCTTTTCAGCCAGCTTTCCTGGCTCAGAGCGAGCCTAGCAATACTATAATTGCTATTTGACTTGAACAAGCTGACCGATCTGATTAAGCTCGGTTTTAGCCTTTCGATCATAAAATCATCCAACAAGCCCTCTTCTTCGATCAAAAAGATTGTTAGGAGAATGTAGATCATCCTAGAGGAAATGGGTATATTAAAAGTTTCCGCTGCAATCCTCAGTCTGGAGTCGACTATCATCGAAGAACGCGGACTCTGTCTTTGCCCATCCATGTCGACGCCAAGAGTAAGATATTGTAACCCTCGAATTAGTTGCCGTCGCATGTCGCTGAGTCGTTGGAAAGGAGTGCCGGCGAGACAGGCCATGCAATTGCACGCAAAGCCCAAGGCTTCGTGACGTTCATATCTGGTTCTGCATTCGAAATCTGTGTTATAACAAAAGGTGACCTCTTCACCGACGTCTATGTCTCGAGTCGCAAAAGCTGAAATAATCTCCCCGCTAGTAGTGGGGATTTTTGAATTTGGTGTACAAGAATGGTTGAGGCGGGAGTGAAGAGGAAATAAGCCATGAGCTGGAAGCTTGTTGGGGTCTGACGTTACGATGCCAAAAGAGTTCTCGGCGAAGGCTGCATTCAAGCTTCTAAAAAGCCTCGACCCATTGTCCCGAAGGAGTAGGAATTCTGCTTTCTGACTGGGTAGCAATCTCTGAAAGGACATTGCGACGTGCTCTTCCGTGATGTCGGTATGCGGCCTTGGGATAATGAAGAGTGGCTTTTCGCTCAAAATTCGAGATCCTCGCTCAATGTGTCTTGTGGCGAAAGCACCCCATCCTTTGCCGGGCGAGGGTCGTAGCTCTAATGGTGTATTACTGGGTATTTGAAGCTGGTGGTATGCTTGCACAGAGGGTTTATTAGCCTCACTATCAGGCTACGGAAAGGGTGACCAACGGTGACTGGAAGAACCTGCGCCAGGTGTTGACATTTCGAGGATGAGACTGGACTGGAGTGGGTTTTTGGTAGCTTGGGTACAATAAATACCAGGAGTGGCGTCGTGAGTCACGGTGCACTATGAACTTCTCTAGCCCATAGCTTAGTGTGACAGGTCACCTTTAGAAAGCCCTTTGTGGAAGTCAAGACGCCGATGCATTATTTCTGACACGTCGTGCAGCGGAGAAGCTGTGCCCGCCACCTCCTTTTTCTCTGTCCACAATCTCTCCACGTCAAAGCTCTCACACTGCGATGGAAAACCCCGCGACAGACTCGGTGAATAGGTTCTTGGAGACGTCTAATAAATATGCTATGTCTTCAAGCCACGGAACCTGGCTTGCTTCGACGACTTCATCGGTGGTCATGCATGCATTCTAGGGAAAGTCTCTAGCACGGCACCTGCAGAAACCCTATTTGTAAATTGTGATACATCGTGCCTCGGAGAACGCGACCTAGCAAATAAAATTAACATTGATCAATTACAGTTTGACAGAAGCGGGGGTGGGCAGGCATGCATTTAGGCCGCAAGTTTTGGTCTGATACACGTAATAAACCAAATCCTCAAACCCAGCAAGCTTCGAAGAGACGTGAGCTCACGTCAACTTCCTTATTCCCTATGAGAGACAAACGAGTCTCACTACTCAAATATCGTACCCCTCACGGTTCCAGCATGGCTCAGTCAGACAAGTGTCTTCCATGGCCGCCTAAGCCACTACTCTAATCGAACTCTCTCTCAGTATAGAATGTAAAATTCGGTCAACTGCACAGCATAGCTAGCTTTAGGTTCTATTTTGATCTATTACTAGATTGTTTTTATATAATTGTTCATTTCAAAAATGGCATGCCTCAAAATCCAAAGTAGAGATTGGAAGAATGGGCATGTTGAATTTTCTACGGTATATTAAGCTTTCTTGAACAATTCGACTCAACCTTAATTTATCTTGATCAATAGAGAGCTGGGCCTAATAATTCGCAAGATTGAAAAGTCGAAAAGGTTAAATCACAAATAATGGTTTCAGCATTCAAATCTCCACCCCACCAGTGTCGGAATCATCACTCTCAGCCTCTGCGCTGATCTCACTGGGAAAATAGGGAACGCCCCGAGGATTAAAACTTGGGTCCATGTGAGGTTTCCGAGAACCCTGCCCAGCCCCATATTGAAGGTCAAGCGTCTTTCGTAGTTCGTCAAGGGAGAGGGTAGCCACGGATGGGCCGAGGTTTGTTTCGATGTCAATAATGGTTGAGGTGCCTCCCGCTGTGGAGTCCGCGAAGCCCATCCGCTTACCAACATTGGTAACGATATCGTTTGTTAAAGCCCCCCTGACAGTGTCGATCATGCGAAACAGAACATCCTCTTGATGCTGAAAGCGCGTCGCGGCATTCTGTTCATCCGTGCGGACATCAGGAAGCCGCCACTTCAGATAGAGTTTCTGGTGGGAAGGAGGGCTCGCATAGCCTCCCGGGTGGCAAGACATGAACAGATGGCAGAGATAGCATGCCGGCTTGCTGCATCCAATGTACTTGTCCCTCTCGTTTAGGAACCTGCCGCCCGTCTGCTCAAAGTGATCGAGGACTAAAAGTTCCGCGTGCACGCGCGTTTTGCCTTTACAGATATCCTTGGACAGCACCCGGTCCAGTTCTTTCTCTGAGTAAATTTGCTGCAAATGCTGCAGGAAAATATCTCGCTTTGCCGCGTCAGAGAACATACGGTGACTAATGTCCTGAATGTTGCAAGTACGGGCCAAAAGAGCGATTCGGTCCTCCCGCGACCCGCCAATCGTCTCGATGCGCAAGCCTCGCGATAACTCTGAGCGAAGCCTAATGGTGGCCTGGATCAGTCGCTTACACTGAGCCACGTGCTTCCCCAGTTTGTAGAGCAGCTTATGGAGTCTCTCGAAATTACGGGATTGTTCAAGGCTCCCGGTGGTGTGATGTAAGGCCTTGAACACCTCCCGGTCCCTATAGCTGGAGAGGGCCAGGCTTGGCATATCGTTTTCCTGGAGCTGCATACTGCCCTTCGAAAAGTACGTTGCAAACCAGTCGCGGATGTTGAGGATGCTGTCATGATCTGCTCGTGGTGGTCCAGGCTCGGTATCCAATTTTCCCATCATCCACGGGACAAACTTTTTCACCTGCTGGTAGTATTCGAAAATTTTGGGGGTGTTGAGGTCCAGCACATGGGTAGTCAATATTTTCATTACCCCTCGGCCCTCATCCGTGTCTAGTCGAACCGTAGGCTTATCGATAACCCATGAAAGTATCATGAGCACCTTCTCCAGAAGAGTGACGACTGCCGGATCAATACCATCGTTGGCAGCCAGCAGAACCACTATCGCATCGGGGGCCTCTTCGAGGGCTGCGGCGGTGACGTAGCCAGGTTTCTTCTGGTATGCACATATATAGGCAATGGCGTCAACAAAGGATCGATAACATCTGGGGGCAGTCAACCCCGGGCCTTCAAGGGATATATCGCCGGGCTTGATTCGATCCCCTCGGACTTCACTCAGAGTGTGGAGCAAGCAGA